CGAATCGGTGGAAGTCGGCAGGCTGGCAAGGCCTCCGTGGAGAAATCGGAATCCGCCTCTAGGGAGCCCACAAAAGACGTGCGCGCCCAGCTGTGTACATGAACACGGCCCCTCGATCCGCGAGACCGGCCGCGTTATACGAACATTTGCGCAATGCGTACTCTCGAAACCAGCGTGGATTCATGTACGTGTACGTCCTTTTGTCGCTCCTGAGCCTCGGAATCCGAAGCCGCATCGACTCGGCATCGGCAGCCATCGAGCTCTCATCGCACCGCACCGGAGGAGCGGAGAGATGAGCCCTGCAACGCTGCCCCCGAGTACGACGAAGCCAGGGCGAGGATACACTCGGGACGCCTCGGGCGCCGCGGCCTTCTCGAGAGCGCTCCGGCGTCGCTCCGAGAGCCTTCTCGAGAACGCTCTGGCACGGACTCGAACCCCCGTCCCGGCCCCGCCCGGCCGAGGCCTGGAGCAGCAGGCCCAGCTCGCTGCCCGAGCAGTCCTCCTCCGCGCTCTGGTTCGCCTCGTCGGGGAGGGCGGCGCCGAGCGGCAGCAGGGCGAGCGCCACGCGGGAGAGCCTGCGCGCCATCTGCGGGGCGGCCGGTCTGCGGTCGGCGAGGATGACCTCTCGAATGCTCGCTTGCAGGCCGCGAGCTAACCACTTTTTCTCCGTGCTCGTTTTGTGAATCGGCGGTGGATAAACCTCCTTTTCGTAAACCTCCCCTTACTGAAAACGGCCTGGGGCCGAAACCGACGGACCTGGACCCGCAAAAATGACGGCCGCGACGCCCTCTCGCGAACCGAGAACGGCCAATTCACTAATCGACGCGCCAGGGTAGGAGGTCTGTCCACCCCCGATGTTGGTAAGGCTTCCCCCTCCGTCTGTCTTCGTTCCGCCCCCGCTGCAACGCGGACTCAGACCAAGAGCGGCCTGCGGAGACGCGCGCAAAACACCGCTTAGCTCGCGCCCTGCTCGCTTCAGCCACGGGAACTCGAACCAGAGCTGCTTGAGCCGAGCGGGCAGCCTGGGCTCCAGCGCTCTGTGCTCCACACTTACCTGAAGGGGCCCTGGGACACACAAAGAAATGCACACAAATAACAGGATCCCCCTACATGTTCCCAAGTTTCCTGGGTTTGTGTCTTCCCCCCAACTTCCCACCTTTTCCCATATTTTCTGGGGAATCGACGATGAATTGTGTCTGTGTGTTTTTGTTCCCTCCTGATTCCCCCGAACTCTCCAAGTGGTGGTCGTGATGATCCGACCCTCCTTCCTCCGGCTCCAGGCGGCTGGCAGCCCAGAATCGTCTCAGCGGGTTCCCCTCACCAGTCGCTCCCAGTCTCTGGGGGATGGTTGTACTCCTCCCCCCACGCCCTCCCGAGGCCTCCCGTTTCGTCTCCACGGCCAATGCCGTCGATGAGCAAATCCGCCAACCCTGCTGATGTGTGGGAGGGATGACGTCCTCCTTGCTCCAGCAATGCGAAGCGCTCCCTCCCCTTTCCTGCGGCCACTTTGGACCGGTCTTCTCGGGCACGCCAGCCCAAGGGAAATCGACCAGTGTCGTAACCGAGTCGAAGAGAAGCCACTTTCCTGTTGATCTCGTCATGCCGATTTCAAAAGCATCCCGGAGTCGGGCCGTGGGCAGAGCGCGCGAGGTTACGAGGAGGAAAGAGGTAGGATTGGCAGGAACCAGAAAAAAGGTTCCGATGGAAACGAGTCCTGGACCCCAGGGTTTTCCCCAGGGCAAGGCTCTCGTCCTGAGTAGCTTTCCGACGGCCCCCGGGCAGGGATCGAAGGAGTCCGAGAACGCTGATCAAACTCAGGGAGGAGGCCAAAGTGCTACTGCGGGCTACCAGCATCCCGACGCTGCGGACAATCCCAGGGCATGCTTGGAGAGAAGGGTGTGGGAGTCTCTGGGGACCCCCCCTGAAACAAAACAACTACGCCCCTCTCTGATGTTTGTTTGGGGGGGCGGGGTACCGCCTCCGCACAACTGAAACAATACTAAATTGATCCACACACACACACATATACACACACGCACACCAAAAAAAACATCCCGCACATACCTAACAAACCTCAAAAGGGTGTTGTGGCTTCTCCACCAGTGTCGGAAAACCCGCACTTAAAACAAAGAAGGCCCGCGCTGAAGCGGTTAAGGATGTTCCCCCATTAAGCCCACTAAAAACAGTCCTCAGGATTGTTTGTGAAGGGTTTGAGGGGGGGTCCCCCTGGACCCCACCGAAACCCCCTCTCAGGAAGGTTTTGTGGGGTTAGGGGGCTTTCCCTCTGCGACCCAACCCCGAAAACCCCGTGTGGGGTGTTTGGACGTTGTTTGGAGGGGTTTAGGATGGTTTCCCCCGTCGGACCCCCACACCCCTAAACAACACCCTCCAGATGGTTTCTGGGAGGCTTAGGACGGTTTTCCCTTCGGAACCCCCAAACAGCATCGACGCCCCTGGGAGGGGCCTCGTCTAGCAGCAGGAGGCTTTCGGGAGGTCATTAATCCTGCCTCCTGTGCATCTGCGTAACGTCGCCTGAAGACGCTTTGGAGATAACGAAAGGGCGTTTGGACTACGGTATCCTCCCCTCCTCCCCTCAAGTCTCCTCCCCCACCCCTCCTACACATGCACATCCACCTCCTCCTACCCGCCCTCCTCCTCCCCATCCGACGTCTTGATGTCGTTACGTTTTTCGCCTGGAGATCTCGAGACGACCTTCCCCAGGACCAGCTCCTCCTTATTACAATTATGGATTGCTTGTCGAGGGCCTAGCGAGGGACCCTGGAGGCGGAATGTTGTCAGAAAGCGTCCGTTGTGGATTTCCTCTCGACTGGAGGGCACCCAGGGGACTGGGGTCACAAATCGCCCTCTGGACCTGTCCCAGCATGCGTCCTGTCAGGATTTCGCAGCGCTTCCAGTCCAGCAGCGAGAAAGCAACGCCCCACGTAGGCGCAACTAGAGGAAGGATAAACGGCGCAACACACAAACAAACTGTCGGAACTCCGCGCGGGCCACCTTCTTGGCGCGCGGAGCGCGCCAGGGGCGGCGCCAGAGGCGACGCCAGGGGCGCCCAACGCTGCTCCAAGTAGTAATCCGCGCGGATTTCCGAAATTCTGTGCTTGTGCATTGCTTCTCCCTCTGCCGGCACAGAGGCAACGCAGAGAGGCCCCAGACAGCTTCGACCCCCGAGCCTCGAAGCTTGGACCGCGAGGAGGCCGGGCGCAGCGCGCCTCACGGGCGTGGCCGTCGTGAAGCAGAAGACTGCATGGTCCGCTCTGGTTTCTTGGATCGGCGCTGGGCCCCTTCACTGGCGCGCGGAGCGCGCCAGGGGCGGCGCCGGAGGCGCCGCCAGGGAGGCCCAGCGCAGATCCGAAAGCTCATGTTTAGGCAATCTGTCCTTCTTCGACGTCGGCCGTCGGCCTCTGTGACTCGACGCCGCAAACAAATCGCTGCACCGTGGGACATCACGACCAGAGCCCTGGGCACCACCGTTACTGCGGCGTTTCTTCCCGCAGCGGGCCCAGAGCCGGACGACCTGTCAGTGCGCGAACTAAGCAATGTGTTGTATTCCGTTTTTGTTATGTTTGTTGTACCTTGTTCTGCGCTCATTCTGCCTTTGCGGCAAAACGACATCAAAACGAGGACGGCCCACGGAATCGCCAAGACACAATTTGGCTCGCGCCCAGAGCCCTGCGTAGAACAGAAATGCGACGCCCAGGTCGAAGGGGCTGTCGTAGACCAGACCGATGTTTTTCGCGTTTTCAATAGGGGGTCCACGGAGCTCTGTGGCCCACTTCCCGGGGACTGGTTTCTCGTCGAGGCTCGGATTTTTGCTGCCCTGGGGCAGGGCGAAGGACCTCGGAGGCCGAAAACGAAGCAAAACCTCTACAGTGCTTCTTCAAAACACGTTAGAGGTCTGGGGTCGCCGTCGTCGCCGTCGGCGTCGCCGTCGGCGTCGGCGTCGGCGTCGGCGTCGGCGTCGACGGCGTCGTCGTCGTCGTCGTCGTCGTCCTTGTCGACGCCGTCGCCGTCGCCGCCGTCGCCGTCGCCGTCGCCGTCGTCGTCGCCGTCGCCATTTCCGCCGTCGCCGCCGCCCCTGCTGTCGGCGGGGGAGGAGTGGGCGAGGAAAGGAGGAAAAGGAGGACGAGGCAGAGGAGGAACAGGAGGAGGCCGAAGGCACGAAGCCTGGTCCACGCCAGGTGGCGCCACGCAGGGCGGCCTGCGCTCCGCGCAGGCTGAGGATTTCGCCCGGCCCCCAGAGGCCAGGGCTGGACCGCGGGCCGGCGTGCCAACCAGGCCCGACTGGGCCCAAGGGCAGAACCCCAGATTTCCAAGCCGAGTCCTACTCACCGTGGCGGCGCCGCAGCACCCGACTGAGCAGCGCAGACCAAAAAAGAAAACGGCCACCCAGAGGGGCACCACGGCTCAGCCCACCGTTGTAGCAAACTGACCACCGTGCAAGAGGGGGGCAATCGGAAAAGCGGGCGGCCGGGGCGGAGGGACGAAAAACAAGGGGGGGAGGACCGCTCGGGGGGACGAGCCGCGCCCAGGGCGGCTAACGGCGGGCGCGCGAAAGACAAAACACCAATTTTGGGGGACAGACGAGGTCCCCCGAAGATGCAGCACAACCAGCCGGACAGACGAGGTCCCCCGAAGATGCAGCACAACCAGCCGACTCCGAGAGGAGGCGCCGCATCTGCTTGAGCAGGGACCGACCGTCCCGGCATTCCTACAGGCCCACCACGAACTGTTCTTAGAACCCGAAATCGTTCTAAGAACAAAAACGATGTTCTTAGAACCTTCACCCGATGCGTTAAAACAAGACAGCCCCAGCCGGAAATGTTCTAAGAACAGATCGTGCAAACCACAAGAGGTTCTTAGAACATTTTTTGGTAGGCCTATAAGAGGCGAGCCAGGACGCTTCGCCAGTGCTCGATCTGCGGCGCGCGGCGCGCCTCACCGGCTCGGCCGAGCCCCGCCGGCGGCGGCTGCCGGCCGGCGGGGCCTGGTCCGCGGGCGCGGCGCGTGGGGCCTGGCCCGCGTCCTGCGGGCAGTGCCGCCGTCTGCAGGCCCGCCGTCGTCGTCGTCTGCGTCGTCGCCGGCGTCGGCGTCGCATTCGCCGTCGTCGTCGTCGTCGTCGTCGCCGTCGTCGTCGTCGTCGTCGTCGTCGTCGTCGTCGCCGTCGTCGCCGTCGTCGTCGTCGTCGTCGTCGCCGTCGTCGCCGTCGTCGTCGTCGTCGTCGCCGTCACCGCCGCCGCCGTCGCCGCCGTCGTCGTCGTCGTCGAGGCCTTCGTCGCCGTCGCCGCCGCCGCCGCCGCCGTCGTCGCCGTCGTCATCGTCCTATCGCCACGAGGGCGCGAGGAGGGGGGAGGAAGGGCGGCAGTGCGGCGCCTCCCCGAGGAGGAGGGCGGCCCCGCGGGGGCCCTGGCGGGAGGTTCGGGGCGTCCCTCAGAAACCCACCCGCGTTCAGGGTGCCGCGGCCCCGTGCTGAATCACGGGTGCGCCGCGGGGACAAAAACCGGGCGCGGGCCAAGTCGCCTGGGCGGCCGCGCAGCTCGAGCACCGTCGGGCGCCTGCCGAGCTGCGGAGCGGTGCGCCCATGGCTCGCCCCCCTCGGAGACGTCTCATCGGTAAGGCCAAAGTGAACACCGAGGAACAGCTGTTCTTGTCCGCTTGGACGGGTACTCGCTGCTGGTGTCGCCGCCAAACGTCATCCGCTCGAGACAACAAGTAGACTGTCAAACAGCGGCCGCCGTCGGACGTGGACGACATTTGCTGCTGGGCACTGTACCTCGTTGTCCGTACCCACTTCGGGCGCGTCGATCCCAGATCTCCGACGATGTGATGCTCGTGTCAGCCAGCGGGCCATCGCTCGGAGGTCCATTTCCTGTGTTGTTTGTTGGTTGCGTGCGTGGCTTTTTCGCCAGATGATCAAGGATGCTCCTCGACGGCCCTCGCCGAGGGACAAATGCACACGTCCGAGGGATGCGTGTCAGCCAGCGGCTGCTCCTCGGCCTCGGACAGCAGGAGGCCGCTCCCGGGCCCCCGGGTCATCCAGCGCGGGTCCAGGGCGGAACGCTGCCCCCATGGGCAAGCGGTCGGGACCCCATGTGGGAACAAGGACGAGGCGACGCCAACACTGGCAGGGCGAGGAGGTGCGAGGAGGCAAGGGGGAGTCTCCCTGGTGGTGTGGCCCCCCCCCTCTCGCTCGAGACATCCCCAGCATGCAGCGTGCGGCTCGGGGAGGCATCGTGGACCTCCTCGCCGGAGGTGGGCCCCCCTGGTGGTGTGGGTGTCGCTTCCCCTCCCCCCGAGACCTGGCCGCGGATCGACGCACCGCATCGGCTGATGTCCGGGGTCTCGCCATCGCTCGGACGTCCATTCCCTGTGTTTTTTTCGGTTTCGTGCGTGGTTCTGTCGCCGAATGATCAAGGACGCTCCTCGATGGCCCTCGCCGAGAAAAAATGCACACGTCCGAGCGATGCCAAGGGGTCTGTCCCCGTCGGCCGGAGGTCGGGGAGCGAGGGTCGAGGGTCGAGGACCGCAGGCCCATGGCGGCTACAACGCCTGGCCCTTTCGCATCGTGCAGATTGGGCTTCGAGGAGGGAGCACCTGCACCCTCTTTTCCACTCCTGTGGCAAGCCAAAATGCTGCAGCGTCAACACGCACATGCATAACTGGTAACACGCACATGCACGACAGCTATAGACATACCAAGGCCTCCCCGGGCCCTGAGATCAGCACTGACTAAAAACAAAAAAATGGTGCGTCATTGAGGCTGCACAACAGTCTGGCAACAAAGCTCTCCCGCTCACGTCGCCCTGGGCGGCACCCGGCTCCTCGAGGCCGGAGGAGTCGAGGAGGGGGTGACAGCGGCTGGCGGCGGCTGCTCGGCCTCCCCGTCCTCCATGCCCTCGTCGACCGTCGCAAGGAGGAAGTCACGGGGCGCCTTGAACTCGCGGATCATCATCTTGATGAACTTCAGGCGCTGATCTTCGTAGTCCGCCAGCTCCTGGTTCCCCCACTCGCACAGGTTCTCGATTGCCCGGACGAACTCCTGCTCCTCGGGTAGCTTCGTAGAAATGACGCTCCACGCGTCCGAATCTGACTGACCTGGTACGCCCTCGTACGAGTGCTGTATCGGCACGCGTAGGCTCTCCATGACGGACTCCATGCCCTCGAGCACCTCCGGGCCCCTGCCGTCCAGCACCGCGAGGTAGGCACTGTCCAGGCTCTGCATGTACAGCAATGCCGTATCCTCGATGATGGCCGCCGTCCTGATAGCGATGTTTCCCGTCCCCTTGCTCCACGTCAACGTCACACGATTGCGATGCTGGCGGCTGTCTGGATCCCCCAGGATCTGCATGTTGGTCACGACCTTGCAGGTCGTCCCCGAGTGGCGGACTGGCTCCGCCTGGATGCTCTCGAACAGGCTCCGGACGCCGTCCTCCGTCAGGCAGCTCTCGAACTTGACCATGGCCGGGCGTCGGCGGCGTCGGCTGGCGGCCGGGCCGCTCCTTCTTGCTACTAGCCGAAAGAAGCTGACGACGGACACGCTCTTGGGCTGCTGCTGCCATGACTGCTGGCTCGTCTGCTAACTGATATTTCCCGCTCGTCATCGTGGCTCTCAACATGTCAGCTGGCTCGGCTTTGTCTTTTGTCAGTATATCTGCTAGCTGAAGAGCAGAGGGCACCCACCGATAGCTCACACCTAGCCGTTTCACGCTCTCCTTAGTGATGACTACGTCAACCGCCACCCGCTTGTCCGAGCATGACCCCGCACTCCCACAGCCAACGATGTGATCGCACAACGACTTACAGTCCGTGACCGCGATGGGAGCCAACTTCGGAAGAAACTCAGATCGACGACGCAAACAAAACTCCCCATCGCTGCCCTCGAGGGGCAGGCACGAGATCCACTCGAGGTGACCTAGGCCGTCCATCTGGGCCTGGGTCTCCGCGGCGAGAGTCGACGATGTTACTCGACGAAGACGGTAGCTTTTCCAGACCAGCGGGCTCCAGGGACTCAGCTCGTTTCGGATCATGGTCTCGTCGGTCGCGGCGATGACGTAACCTGCCTGGGTCCCGGATTTCGAGGCGTTCTGGTTCGAGGCGTCAGCGTGCATGATAACCCTGAGGCGTTCGATCGGAATCGGTTTGATCTTCCAGGACAGGTTCGAAAACTGTTTAGCCCTCCTCACGATCGTGCTCCCGTGTCTCACCTCCCCCACCGTTGGCCTGGGCATGCACTGCTGGCTCATCGAAACCTGGACTGCTAAATCTGGCCTAGATTCTCGAGCTAACCAATTGCCGCTACCGAGCATTGCGCGGAAGTTCGCGATTTCCTTCTCGGTCGCCGGGGTCTCCGGGTGCGCTCGGGGTCTCACACCAGCTGACTTCATCGACTCGGCGAACTCCTTCTGAGACACGGTTATCTCCATCGTCACGGGATTCTGGACAAGATAGGACCCACAGAACTTCCCCTCGTTGACCTTCCACTTGGGGAAAGGGAACCTCGCACGCAGAAATCTGATGAAGGTGTTGTACTTTTTCCCTTTTCCTCCAGTCAAGATGTCATCGACGTGCGTCGATATCAGTCCTTGCAGGCGCCGGCCCTCGAACAGGAAAACAGGCGCGGGTCGAGCTTGGACTGGCGCCAGCCCTCGCACCCGTCACTCGGCTTCCAGTCCAGGACGGCGTCCCTGAATTTACCCCACCACTGAGCCGGGGCGTCGTTGAAGCCGTAGATCGGCCTGATGACCTTCAGCAGCTGGTCGGGGTGCAAACCGGGAAGGCCTCCGCGCGGCTGCTTGAGGCACAGGTCCCCGTTCTCGCGCTTGATGGGGCCTGCCTCGAGGAAGGCCCCCTCGACGTCCCCGATCTGGACCTGGAAGCCGTGCGAAGCCAACAGCTGGTAGGCCACGACCTTCCCGTTCTGAGAGAGAGTCGGGGAGGTCTTGTTCTCGCGCACGAGCTGCATCAGGTCGGGATCCATGTATCCCTGACTGCGCAGGCGCGCCTTGACCACCTCCGTCTCAGAATCGTCGATCTTGCTCGTCAAGATCATCCGGCTGCCGACGATGCGCCCTGGACTGTTCCGTCGGATCTCATCCGACTCGACCCGAGACGCAGGCGCCAGCGCCTGCTTCTTGTTGAACAGGTTGTCCACTTCCTTGCTGATGCCGGCGTTGATCTTCGCGAGACCCTCCTGGCTGGTCCACTTCGGGTCCTTCCTGTTGAGCTCGCGCCTCCCGCCTGCCAACATCGCGTCCTCCAGCTCCTCATCGCCCTCGGAGTTGGCGTACAGCACGCGCAGCATCTCCTCGTCCTCCACGGTGTCGGTCACCATGCTCGCCAGCAGCACGCTGTAGACGTCCTCCGACAGCCTGGGTATCTTCGCCTGAGGAGTTGGCAGCGGCTCCTCAAGTTCGACCTTGGGCGCCTTGAGAGGCCGCACCTCGGCCGGGTTGACCGCCCTCTTGCCCGCCAGACGGCGGTAAACCTTCACGTCGGCATCCATCTCGTCTGACGGTGGTGCGGCAGGGGCCTCAGCAGGTTGCGCCGCCTCAGCGCTCCCCTCGTGGTCATCGGGGCTCGGCTGCACCTGCGGCTCCTCCGTCTCTGTCGCAGCCGGAGGCTGCACCTCCGACGGTTCCTGCGCCGCCGAGCTCGGAGCCGCGCCAGCATGCGCTGCACCGGGAGGTCGCTCGTCCGCGGTGATATCCATGAAGCCGCGCTGCGGACCTTGACCGTCCATGAACTCCTTCGCCAGAGCTCGGAGCTCAGGCTGGACGACCTCGGCGGCCAGCCTCTCCTCCTCGGTGGCGCGCCGGAGCTGCTCCGGCGACGCCTTGATCACCACGCCTGGCATGGCGACCCAGAAGTTGCCGCGCACGGGGCCCAGGATCACGGCAGACCCGCGCCAGCGGGCGTGAGCCTTCTTCCCAGGAATGCCCCGACCTCGGCGCCACACTGCCACGCGATCGCCCGGCTTGAACGACTGCACGACTCTGGGGCGGCTGTCCAGCGCAACCCTGGCCGCGC